TTGTGATTAACGTTAAAATCTAATAGTGGCGAAGACTAATTCCACAGCAGTTTCCCTTAAATAAAATTAATTTTGATTGGACTTTTCTTGCAGGTGTCGCAATACCAGGCCGCAGTTTTAGTTTGGCATTATGGACTAGTGCATATTAAATAATGCGAATTATTGTCGCTCATATTTTTAATTTTGGTATTATCAAACAGTAGCCAGGGCATAAAGTACGTTTTAATTTAGGTAACATATGTCGTTTAAAGATCGAGTACCTATCCTCCAAAAATATTCCTTTCGGTTTCGGAATATTTTTAATTTTTAATGTTTAATTCTACCTACTATTGCCACATATAGCAGTTACATTTTAATTTTCATGATTATGTTACAACAATATTTGAGATAAATTTTACCCTGGTAACCACTGAGTTGATAACAAATTAATTATTCTAAGTAATTGTTGTTTTTTCGGCCTTTAAATCACGTAGGCCATTATCCAAGCTAATGATATTAAATTTAGACAACAGTACAAAAAATTGAGGTTTGTGTGTTACGTCTTTGTTTGTTTATCATTCCTTTGATAATGGCCTACAGAATTTACAGGTCGAAACGCAGGCAATTTAAACAAACTAATTTGGGGAACTCTGTTGTTATTTTCATTCACTATAATATGAGAACCATGGATATTTACCCTCGTATTTCTATACGTGTGTTATTGTTCGACTCATTTTTGGCCTCTAAGAAATAGATAACCAATCAGTTACTAAGTTACGTAATTATCCCTCATTAAATGTAATATAGGGTTCATTAAACGATGTCTTTTTAAAAACGTGATTACACGTATATCGATAAATGTGGATTGAATTGAACTGTTGCAAACTCAACGAGTGTTCAGTAAATTGCACTTTCATGATGTGTGATGCAACGGTTGGTCATGGTGTCATTTATTCCTTGTGACCGAAAACTACACCTATTAGACATTCTCACTAATTAATGAAAGTGCAGATTCTAGTATGGATCATGTATGGATGACATATTTTTTCGTAAAATGAACATGATATAGTTGCAGTTAGCTACCTAATAATAACAGCATTGAGACATGAAATTTTGAGAAACAATTCTAGGAATGTTACTACTTAGTTTCCGTTTGGCGTTGAAAAGGTAGTTTTGAAAAAAAAAGCATTCGATAGACGGTACAAAAGGGTGTTTATGCAACGCGGTTGTAGTATGACAAAATAGATTTACCTTGTCTAACCAATCGTATTTTGATGTTTTTGATCTCTCATTTCTGTATTTTCACATCGCTTTAGATGTGCACCTCGTAAAGCAGTGGGTTCAATTTAGGCACATCTAGGTAAATGTACCTAAGCGATAATCCAATACCCAGTCTTAGATAGGATCATTAGAAAAATAAATCAATTTATATTGTAGGTATTTG